CAGTATCTTATTTCAATTCATCATTTAATCCTGTGAACGAATTATTTGGATTAAATGGAATAATAAACTACCTCTGAAATTTCAAGTTAAATTTATTTGCTTTAGATGGCTCTTGCTTCTCTCTGCCTTATAGGAGATTGCTATCTCCTTTTGTTGACTAAAGATATTTATTTCAATTGTTATTTAAAAAGCATAAAAATCATTGCAAACATAAGAGATTTTGACAAGAGTGTACAGGTTAAAAGTTCAGCTGGGTTGTAAGTGAACAACAAGATGAGAGTTGGGGGACAAAGAGAAGACAAATGCACAGGGTCTCCTCCTAGAAAAGGATTTTCTTTTTCTATCATTTACATGTTTAGTTCTGTTAAAGAAAAAAGTAAATTTAGTATTTTTAATTTCTTTTTTGTCTCCTGAGAAGTTCTTGTATGAGGTTGTCACAAGCATTCACTTTTATGTAGACTCCAATTTAGAGGGGAAAAGAAAATTGAAAAAATATTTCTAGCAAGTGTATTATTTTTGATACAATGGATTCAAATATATCTATGTTTTTTAAATTTTATGTTTTGTATTGTTAAAACTGATCCATTTAGTGGGACAGGTGGTATATAAAGAAGTTTGTGAAATATAATCCATTTGTCGATCAGTACCTAAGCTTTAAGCACGAAGAAATAGCATTTAACACCGGCCATAAATTGTCAGTTTAATAATTTATGGGTATTCTATCTTGTGTGCATTTAAGTACATTTGCTATTTAATATTTATTTGTTATTTGGGCTCATTGAGAAAGAATTCCTGTTTTGCACCTGAGTCCAAATGATCTATAGCTAAAGTGACTGATGCACACCTATCATATATTATTTCAACAGTCAGATAATTGTTCACCTGGGTAACTTCACAAAGAACAAAACTTTTTTCACTTTAAAATGAGTTTTATTTACGTTTTAGGAGCTAAGTAATAACAGAGGTATTTGACATTGATCATATCTAACTTTTAATATTTCATGGGTTGATATGAAAGATAATTCCTTGAGATTCTAGTTGGTTTTTCGTTCCTCGTAAATTTCACGCCGCTACTCCGCATGAAAATTGATAAAAACTGTCATTAAATGCAAATTCTGTGAAATTGAAAAAAATATAATTCACAATGAACTGTTGTATCTCTTTTTGAATAGTCAGGTTTAAATGCTGGCCATAAATTTACTGTTGGTGACCACAGATTGGGTTTAGAGGTGACCTCAGGTGAAGATGCTGTCGGCTGACGTCTTCTCAACTTCAGAGAAGTTTAAAACATAAATCGGTCATCCATTTAACACTGTTAAGAGAATTTATTCTGCCACATAAAGCATTTAAATTTAATTTTTTTCTTTAATTAATATAATGTTATACAAAGTTGTTTCCCTTTATTAAAAAGAAAGTGTTGCCTCCCCTTTTTTGGTGTAATATGGCATGCTTTTGTTAGATTGGTTTGAGCCGGAGTTTGTCCCAAGATTCATCTTATCTTAGATTTGTGGTGATTTTTTTTCTGTCTGCCGCATTATAATTTCAGGACTTTGAGCAGAAGAATTTAAAAAAAACTAATTGAATGATAGAATCTTTGGTGTATTTTTCACAATGTGATGACTGGGATGAATAGGTTTAAATGTAAATTCAGTTTTTCATTTAACATCATTTAAATTCTAGATTAAAATCAAATAAAGATACATATCTAAACTGAATCTCCTTAAAACAAGAACAAAAGTTCAAGAGGAAAAGACATGAGAATTTGTGTAAGCCAAAGCTGTGTTGCTCTTCATAGCTTTTATTTGATTTTTCTTGAAATACGTAGGATTCATTAAATCTTTTGTCCTCACTATAACTCTAGACTCAAAGGAAGAGGAGAATACTTAAAGACACTGTAGTACAATAAAAGAAAATGTTAAGTAAAATGTCCAGAATTAAAGAAAAATCTTTTAATTGTTGAGATTGAAGTATTTTATTCTGACTAGAACAGCCTTTTTATTGTGAAATGTTCTGAAATTTAAAACATGAGATTGAATTGTCTTCACCATAAATCACTATTTCAATAATTTTGTCAGACTCTTTTGACATTTTTAATTCCTACTAAATAGGATAAGGTGACAATCCATTTTCATGCATTTTTTTGGAATGAGGTGCAAAATGCCTATAGTGTTAAAGGGTTATGGGGATTCCTTTATCTGTCAGACAATATCCGAATTGTATATGACACAAAGGTGTTATTCCTCCCCTCTCTGGCCAGAGGGAGCTTCAGTCAGACTCATCTAGATATTTTATTTTGATACATTTCATTTCAGCAAATTATATCTTCGTACAATTTTTATCCCAACAAAAGAAATGCTTGCAGCTCTTAAGTGAGGGAATTATTTTTGTGTGTGGGCCATGATATTCGATATTTACCTGTTTAGCAAGCTTAAATCATGTTATATTTTTTCTAATTTGTGGCACACAATGGGTTTGGGATTGAAATGAAACATTTGAATATTAAATGCAAAAAGAGATAATAAGAGCTTTGCAGGACAAACATTTGATTTCATTCAGAATGTAGAAGATTCTGCGTTTGAAACGACAAACCTATACTTAGAAAATCGGTAGATTTGTCATTTGAACTGTCCGCTGTCTGAGAACCATTGAAGTTCACAATTGTTGCATGCAGAAGTTTGCTTTACAATTCTTTTTCCACTTTAATTATGAATAGCATCAACAGTGGTATATTTCAATGGCTTTTGTCATGTTGCGGAAAATTGTATCAAATTAGGAGTCAGATTTTCTCTGTACCCCTAGCACCTGCTGATAGCTTGTCATCCAAAGGGCCCAAAATTGAATTTTCTCATTTTTATTTAACTATAATTCCCTCAGGTGCACTTCATGTTTAAGGGCCAAGACATTGCAGTATTAAAGTCAAGTGGATACTTTTTTGTTGACGGCAAATCGCAGTCAAGTCTGCTGTTATTTTGAAATGTGCAGAGCATTATGATGAGAGGTTTTAGAATAATTTGCATTAAACTGTTAAATGCTCAAGTTCACCCTTTCTTTGGGCATTTAAGGTGTGAATCACATGGGTAACTTTGTATCACCCAGAGATTAAGATTATGATATTTGCAAAATATTAAAGAAAAAGTAGGAGAGATCATTTTAAATTTCCTTCATCTAATTTGATACTGAGAGGTTGCATTCATGTGATTTCAGCTATATGAATTCATAAAATGGAATTCACTCAAATGCAAAAAAACATTTAATGTTTATCGAGGCATAAGTCCCCCATGTGGTGAACATATCATGGCTATTTGTGATGTTTTCACCCCGGATGAGGTAGGGAAGGAAAAAAATCAGTGTGATTGCCTTCCTATTTGAAACCGCAGTTGAGCATCCAGCACATTTATTCAGAATTAATAAAGGTAATTTCAATAAGTGTTTTTATTGGTAAGATGATGAAATTTTAGGATGTTAGGGGAGATGTACCGGGGCTGCTGTTGCTTATTGATAAGGAATTGTGTTTAATCTACATCAATTATTCACCAAATCAATAAAGTTATATCACCAAATAGTTCTAGAATTGAAAAAGATAAGAAAAACAAACAATCTCAGAATGTGTGTTCATTTGAAATGGTGATAAGGAGAGACAAAAATGATGAAATTGGTTAAATCTTTTTCTGAGCCACAACTATTTTCCTGATCTTTAATTTGACTGTACCTCATGCCACGTAATCTGAATCCGATTTTAAGTTTCTCTGATTTCACGCAGGTATCTTAATTTGCATATCCAGTTACCTGTTAAAACACGAAGGAGTCTAAACCTTCAAATACCATGTCGATCTTTTATAGAAGGCTGCTGATCAGGCTGCAAGAACACGATATGATTTCAAAAGTTCTATTGATGAAATATTTGAAAACGTTAATCAAATGAAAAGTATGGGTCTTTTGGGCATGAAGATCGGCTTGTTCGGGCACCAGAACATTAATTTAGAGTAAAATACCGGTTAGCTTGTCTTTGACAGACTTCAAATTATATACAAAGTGATTCGGAGGCAATTTTTATGATTTCTCTATAATGGAAACCCTGTCCTGTGTAGGATGAGTACCTGTGGCCCCCGAAGTTACATTTCAATATGTTGTTTATTGACTTAGAAATATTATGTATCAAGATGAAATATTAGGCTTGGATCAATGAGTGAAACTGTAGCTTTTCTCTGGGTACGCAGTTGTAGGAGCGTTAAGGGTTAGCTGGGCCAGGTGACGAGTTTTATTAAAATTGTACGATACAATCTCCTTCTTTACTGGGTATGATACCATCAAATAAACCAAAGGAATAATTTATGTCTGTAACCTGACTCCATGATAAAAATTACAACTTCCACCAGAAACTTCATTATTCCATCAAATTAAAAAATATTCAATTCTATTTATATCAATATAAATGTGAAACAAAGCAGAGGGTATGAATTTTTGCAGTAAGGAAAACAATTAAACACAACAGTGTATATTTATTTCTGTGTTTGCAATGTGCCGTTATGCAATAAAAGTGGCTGTTTTGAGTCAAAAACCCCCATAGATCAGCTGTTTTGCAGTTTAAATATGTCATTTCAGCCATAAAACCAACACAAATATCTCGATTTTTTTTCTTTCTGAAGTGATTTGGATCTGTGTCTTACCATGCAGTAATAGTGATTTTATTGTATGACTCGTTTTTGTGGTTGGGATATCTCATCGTAACTTCATTTATTGCTTCACCAAATGGACAATTTGTTACACCTCCTATTATCTAATTTTAAGTATTTGTACATCATTCTGTTTGTTTTACTTGATTTTTAGTTACTGACATTTGGCATATGACAAAAAAAATTTGTGTTTTTTGATTTACTAGTATTCATTTAATTTGTAAGTAAGATGTCTCATAATCTGCCTAATAGAATTGTGTCCCTTTGTAGCAGTTTTTGAATAACTTTGAAAATGAATTAAATATAGTTTCTGGGTTTTTTTTTCAGTGCTCGCCCAGGCAGGCCACCAAAGAGAAGTCCCTCGATCCATGCCAGTCCCGAAACTCTAGAGAAGCTAAAGAAATGCAGAGTCGATGGCGACTATCCTTTTGATCCTCGAGCTCTTTATGGTAAATAAAAGCATCCATTCAACAACATTATATCATTTTACCCAGAAGATACAATCGACTATCTCAGAAACATAACACAGAATCAGATATCGGAAGTGCTCTTAATAAATTTATCTGAATGTTCATTGTCAAATTTTGAAAAACAATCAGCAATTGTTAAAGTTTCGTAGAAAGCATACACAGATACTTACACAAATGTCCTTGTTACATTTGTGATCTAACTAATATAAAGCTTCCTAGGGACATGAACTAAAGAAATGCGTTATTTGTCATATGGCCTTGCATTAATGATTAAGCTGATATTTAGTTTTGTTGTGTGATTTGTATTTATTTCATGTATCCGTCATCATGCAAGGACTGGCGACTTCTTCACCGAGTCTTTGGTTAACAAGATGATGAAATAAAGAATAAAATGACCGACCATTTGAAGTTTAGATTAATTTACCTATTAAAAAGATGTTAGATTCAAATAACAATAGAAAGATTTTCAGCTTCAGCACTGACAGGTTTATTTCACTCCCTAGCATCACCTGTGGAATTGCGACTTTCTAGGAATTTGGCAGTGCGTCCAATTTCTGGCCATCCCAGAACTCACAACTGGGATTTTTAACATTGCAGCAAGTCCAGGTTTTTTCAGCATTCAATTCTTGGCAATGGTTAATGATATATTAACAATGGTAGAAATAGAGGGGTATTTATTTTTTTCTTGCCATTATTATTTCTGAAACATATGAGTACAATCAAACAACTTGGCAGGTTTGTAAATTTGGAAAAGTCCAGTCTAAATACTGAAATGAACAATTGGGAGGTTTAGCTTTCTATCCAAATCAGAGAGAAAAAAGTCTTGGCACCCACAGGGATATAATAAACACAACAGATTGGGATAGCGTGACTGCTTTTTGTATTGTAATTTCAAAATTCTATTTTTATTGAAATTAGATAATGGAAAGAATTCAGTGAGAAATAAATGAAAATATTTTATAGCTGTATGAAATCAACACCAAATGGGCTATTGGAGATATTTAATTAAAACATGCCAATTGGAGTGATAGCCGTCATAATATGTGACAAAAATTTTGAAAAAGGAAAATTGCATATGATAAGCTGGGAAGTTTTATCAAAGGAAAGCTGTGTATTGGGCTGAACCCTCTGAAAAGGAAAGCAATTAAAGCTGTAGACGATATGACCACAGAACATTTGAAGATATCTAAACAAAGCAGTAATTATTTTTAAATGTGGTAGGAGGAAATAAACAGGGGATAATTTATTTTGCATATAATTGTATTTATCAAGCATCATTAATTGAATCTTAAATCTGGAGAACATTGATGGACTACACGTTTGGCATGACAGAATCATTAACTTCTTGTCACCTTTGCTATTTTCTTATCTGGTCACTGATATTTCAGGAAAATGACTTTTTCCTATTTATATGAAATAAATGGAATTCTGTGTTTTTCTTCAATTGGTGGCAATGAAGGCTTGTAATATGACCAGTGATTAAGATCGGCTGGACTCTCTCTCTCCGTGACAATTTCTGTGGAACTGTTCAGGTCAGCTGATCAGTCTTCAGCCAGCGTTAATGGACAAAGCTGAACGCTTTCATTGCTTAATGTGCAACAAAATATCTTATCTTTTGAAACATTTAATGAGAGTAGGAATTTAGATCCTTAAAAATAATTACATGATTCTGTATCCACTTCTAAATATTTTGAGCCAATTGTCCTTATTCATGCTGTTTCTTTGAGGGTCCTGCCTGTTATGAAGGGGTTTCAATCCACTTGTTTACTGTTTTGTTTTCAACATTTGCCTTTTTGTTTAAAATTACTTTGATAAGATTGGATCCTTTGCTAACAAAAAACAAACAAATATGAAGCAGAATGTTTGATAGCAATCGTCACAAATTCAACCAGTTGTCCTTGTGAATTCGTCACGGCAATACAACTGAATGTCATGCCTACGTCGGGGTGAATTCGGTCAGTATTCAGTTTGGGGAGGGGCGATTAGTCACATGGGTATGGCTGCGGAAAATTCTACAGATGTAATATACGGAAACCTGTAATTATAAATCTTTTTCTTCTCTTGTACTTGTGGCCCTGAAACACATATGGATATTTCTCAATGAAGTCAATGCATTGGAAAGAATTCTGTCCTTCCATCCAACATGAAGTCAGTAGAAAATGGTATTTTTTATGGTTAACAAATACAATGGGTGCCTCAGAGGTTACAGAATTACAACCCAAGGTTGTTGATGCCAGTGCAATATGAGATTAACTTTAGGAATTTGTTGATCAGATGAAGAAAATGCGATAAAAACTGTTCATGTTATTTCATGAAATTTTATGGCCTTGAAGAACACATTTTGTGTAAATGTGTTTGCTTTATCAATGAAAAGTTAGAACTTTATTATATGATTCTGATTATCTGCACATTAGTGAGAGCTTACAATTTTTCCTCATTTCCTAATGGACTACATTATCATTGGCCGCCTTGTTTTATTAATTATATCATTGCAGCATTAAAATAAATGGAACTTTTTTTCAAAGATATATGAAGTCATAAAGGTAGTCACTAATGCAGAAATCCTGTGGAATTTGCTCCAAATGTGACCATTTTGGTATTTGTTTAAACCCCTAAACAAAAGCATATATTTTGTAGAAAGAAAGACTAATATCTGAGATTTTGTTTTCAATTTCTGAGGTTTTTCGGGAAGATCTCCACATACCAGTATTTCCATCATTAGTCTGGACTGGGAAATAGAAACCATCTTACCAGTTGTACACTTTCCACAGTAATTTTTTAAAATATGAACTTACTGAAATCATTAAGTCATTTTCAAAGCAATTTTAAATGTATTCAATATTTTAGAATTCTTCGTTGCTGTACTTGTAAGGTGCCCTTCTTTTCTAGATAATTACCGGTAGTCTTTCAAGAGGAATCTTTTTTGGAATATTCAGGATTGCACTTTGAATTTCTTGAAAATTAAATATTTTCTTGTAGGACTTTCTTCTTTTCTAAAAGACTGTTTATTTTTCCAATTTACATGATTAATGATTAATATCTAGAAGAATCTTACTCTTGGGAACTTGTGTTATAAACCTAATTGCACTCTTAAGAAACTGTGCATTAGTACGCCATTACTCAGAGTTAAACAAAAGCTGAACTGGTATTTATTTCCTCTCTGATGCTAGAAATGTCATAAAATCCTTTTAGACTGTATGTCTTTGATTATTGATGAGAAGACTTGGGTAACACATTTAACGAATTGTTTCAGTATTATCTGAGTTATGTCCCTTAGATGTTGGACAGTCATGAATACATACATGTTAACCTATTTTGATGAAAAAGAGGGAGATTCAGACCTCAAAAGCGGTAGCATTGCGCGCGTGTTGTTTAACGCTTTGATTATCGATATCTTTCATGTAATATACATGTATATTATAAGCCTTAAATGAAATCATGTACCTACACTAATTAATCTTAAATATCAACAGCAATAAGAAGACAGAAACACCTTAAGTTTGACATAAAGTACAAATTCAAATATTTTTCATGCTCATCATTTTGCTTGGATTGGTTGCTTTACATATAGCATTTTGAAGAGTGATCTTTGCTGAAATAGCCTAGAAGCAATAATTCTGAATGTTCATTCAATTTTTAAACAAAACAAATGATGGCATTGTTTAATCTAGATCTAAAACAAGTTGTATATTTCGTAGTATAAACAATTATGACAAAACGAAAGTAGAGATTGCCACATGGCTTGGTTAATCGAGTGATTTCTTTTGACTTTATTGATAAAGTTGTGAGCTTCTTCCTTTTAAAGACGATGTCAAATGTTTTCATTTATTAAAAGCCGTATTTTAACCAATGTAATCACTGGTAGTCTTGTTGTTGTCGTTGTCAAATGCTTGAAATCTATGTACAAAAACAGCGTTTGTATGATTCCGAGTCAAATCACGCGATATAGCGAGATTTTATGAGAGTGGCTTCAAAAAATGAACCAAAAATACAGCTTTTGTAGAAAAAATGAATTAAATCGGTACATATATCGGGAGAGTTAACAATATGACAATTATATTTGTCTCGTTTTCACCTTAATATTAATTTTACATGAAATTTCTTTGATTGTGAGGAAATGACAAAATGTAAACATATATCCAAATGACATTATTTGTCTGAACAGGGAAATGAAAGTCTCTTTTCTGGGTTGACTAGTTAATTAACACAGATTTTACAATCAGATGAACGATTTTCTCTCATGCACCTTCAGTGTATCACTGTTTCAAGTAACTCAGACAAATAAGTCAGCAGAATATATTGAATTGTTATAATTCCAGGTAATTTTTCTAAACTTGTTTATGGTGGAAGCACAAAGTTCTGCAAAGACTTATGAATATTTTTAAGGTTTAGAATATAAAAGTTTTATGACTTTAAAAGTTATAAAAGCAAACTGTTGATAGTAACTTGACTTTCTTCTCATAGTCCGGGGTAGAGCATTGATTTACTTTAACAGAAAATCTAACTAGCTGGCACCTGAACATCAAATAATTTGTTAACACTGGGGATTTATATGATACGACATGTTGAAAACCCCCATATCTTTCAGAAATAATTTACTTTCCAAAAGGATTTGTTTTTGATGGATTTCGATAATGGAGTATTAAAATTGTCATGCAATATTCAAAGGTGTTTTTAAATAAGAATCTATTTCATTTCAAATGTTGCGACCTTAGTGTTTTAACCGCTGGGCACAAACCCTCTTTATAACAGTCAAAATTAGGTCTTTGACATTAAAATCAATACATAGCATTTCATCCAAGTGAAATCATCCATTTACTAGTTTTAATAAAAGAAAATATAGCCCCATGATCAATTGATTTAGAATTAAAGTATTTATGATTTTTATTAGATACCGACTCGTCATGAAATTTTACCACGAAGCAAAGGTTGTTAGGGAAGCTAAAATTTCACTTTTGTATTAAGACTAATGGCTTTCCTTATTCATCTTTTCCTTAGTTTGAATTAATAAATGAGTATGTTGCAACTAATTAAACAATTTGATAATAGCCCAAAGTAAAAATGGAATTACTGATGAAAACTTTTCTTGACAAAGACCCACACTGAAATCTCATATATTAACCGAATCCCATTGACCATTAGACATCTGTTAGCATAGAAAATATACAAATGACTTTTAAAAATGAAAAGAAGAGGTCCATTATAAATGTTTATGAAACTTTTAATAATAAGTTGTTTGAATTGATCTGTCTGTGTGTTATAAATGGCATGATTCAAACTTCACTTGGTTCTCTGTAAATAGTCAGGTATTGTGAAAATCTTTTAAAATGACAAAGGCTTGGTTTTTCAATTATTTTGGCCTGGGGATCAATGGGAGATATAGCCAGCAGTCATTGATTGCCATGAAATCAGGGGGCTGAAGTGGCCCAGTTCTGTATAACTTCCCATGGTGAGCAGCGCTGGAAAAGCTTCCCGCTGAAGAGGATTGCACAAGGCCAGCTTCCGAAGCAGCCCCACGAAGAAAAACATTTCCGGATTGAGTTGCATTATGAAACTCCTTTGTACAATTCTTTATTCATTATCAAGCCATTTAGGAATCTTGACATAGTTTGAATAGCTGTAACATTTTAAAACTTGGCCAGAAAAAAACTGGACCACAGTTCAAGGTCATATGTTATCCATGGGAAGATAGTCCAACACAGTGCCCCAATTTAGTAGATTTGTCTATATTTCTGTATTTAGTCTACTATAGAGTTTCATTTTTTTTGCAGATAGGAAAGCTTTCCTGAATGGATTTCATAATCCATATGCCATGGGACCACTTGCTCCTTTTATGCCAATTAACCCAGTGAACATAATGACCCCACCAGTTTCCATGGCAATGGCCTCTCACCTTGGACTGCGCCACGAAAGTTCCTTACTGAAAGACAGAACAACTTCAGAGTCTGACCTCATATCTCCAAGGTAACAAGATAATGTCGTGAAATGGGCTGAATAATATGGACTAAATTAAACCGAATACTAGTAGATTAAAAATTAACAATATTTTTTATAATAAATCTGTTTGAATAATGAGTGAAGAATGTACAGTGCACTATAATTTTCTGTGGCCCAGATTAGCTTGCAATGACATTGAGAAGTTTTTAATTTGCCAGGTAAACTTTACATGTACTTAATCCTTATTAAAGATTAACTTTGTTATGAGGATTGTATGAAAAAGAAACAATTAATAGAGTTTATCAGAAGTATTGTAGAACAAAGGGCATCTTTTTGCATTGCTGCACCTTTTTCCCATTTGATACTGAATTTAAATGTAAAATAATTGTATTCTTTAGAAGGCTGAGGATTGTGTGATCTTTAGGAAGGAACAGGTCCTCTAAAGAAAAAGGAAATAAACCCACATTTATCTCATTTCCCTTTCAATTCCTGTTTGTTTGATATAACAAAAATAAATTTCAAATTGAAGAAGAGGATATCATTTTTAAGTTTTCATATTTTTTTTCCTGTCCAGATGTCACAGATGATATGGTATAGGAAATACATTTTTTATGATAAATGTTACACTTCAGAAGTGAAAACTATCGATAAGAAAAAATTGAATTTTTCTCTGAAATAATGAAAATCTATATGCGTTTGTTGAGTGTCATATATTAGAGAGGGCAAATTAGATAACATCTTGTGAAAGTTAGCCAAAATAAATATTTAATATTAAACTAATATGACTACCACAGAAGTTATTTGTAATGCTCAAAGATTCAAATTAAATCCATAATGCTCATAATAATTTGCACACAGACTTTAATTCACTATTGACGAAAAAGAAATAATTTTTCATTAAATCCAATTTGTCATTCCTGTTCTGTATGTAAAAGAGGCTATGTTTTTGATCTGTACAATTAACTGTAGATTTTCAGTTATAAAGTAAATGTTACGTTGTAAAACTGACAAAAAGAAATGGTATTAATTAATAATTTCTTTTTCATATGACAGATGCTCAACTCATTATTTCGCGTTAGTAAAATCTGCTGAATAAAAGATGTACCTTCAAAATACTTATATAATCAACAGGAATCCGTAATTGAAAGCTTAATTTGGGGTTTGTTAATTCTTATAATATTTGAATTTGCTGTAGGATTGTGTCTTATTAAAATGGTGTTTATAATGATTACATTGTACAGTTATTTAATCAGCAGATGAAATCAAAAATTTTTGGGAACCTCCAATTTTATATATCTTGCAGCAAAGCCTAATTACAGTTTTATGTAAGTTTTTTAGTTTTGATCAAAATCTGCTTGTGAGAAAATAAAATATCATAGAAAATGTTTCTGGTCCAAACCAATGTTTGTTTCTAATGGATTGTTCGCTAGAAAGGTTTGCACTTCCTCAGAAGTACTATAGAGATCGCAGATGAAAGACACGGCAACATTTGAAATGTTGTTTGAATCCGTAGGTACAGAATCTGTTTGACATGAGCTAATCTGTTTGTTCCAACAGTAGGCAAAAAATAGGATGCAGAGAAACGAATTTCAAATGAAGAAAATTGTCAGATGGAATATTAATGGGAATAATTACAAGATGTCGATAGATGTATTTTTGTGATAAACAAGCCTGCAAATGCTACAGATGTAGCATATCATATTTAACTGCAGGTTTCGATCAACAATTATAACAGAAGTAAACCATGTAGCAGGGAGAAAAAAAATAATACAAGGTTTAAATGAAACTGAAATCTAAACTAATATGTGCAGATCACAAATAAATATTTATCAGTTGCAATATTAATGACACTTATTGATACAATGATATGCTAGATTGAAATCTGATGTGAATTTGTCAATAAAAATTATTTTGCTTTGTTTTAGGTGTCGGGATGAGCGTTTGGACAATTCATTAAAGAGTAGTCACATTACGTCACCACATTACGAATCCGACAGACTCCGAAGTTTGGACTATGACAGTAAGAAATCTTTGGAAAAAGGCCTCTCCAAAATTTAATTTTGCCTCAGAAAAATGTTAGGTGTGATGAGAAAATTGTTGAATCTAAATGCTTCTTGGGAGATGAATATTTCTTATATCATTGCATGGAGAACTTCACACATTTATATCACCAAATCAATTTTCAACTAAATTGAAAAAACATTTGTTTAGAAAAAAAACATTTACTATGGCTTTCATCATATCAGAAAATATAATTCAATTCTTTTTATTATCGAAAATCATCTGAAATGTAACTATAATGTAGGTTTCTCAGAATGTTATCCCCCAGACTGCGCTAGCTTCCTATTAGAGTCTGCGTCAAGTGGAACTCCTAATTACACGATACGAAATGATATTTTCTACGAATTATCACAAGTACAATTTGTAAAGAAATGAACATATTCAGTAGCTAAGAGATAAGTTGGGGGATTGTAGATTGTTGAAGCCCTTGGTTTCTACTGTGTTCGTGATTCGGAAGTCGTCGGAAAGATGCCACTACTCAAGATTGGCAACGAATATCAATTCAGAATAAATTGGCTTCAAATCTTAAAACACATATTTGCCATTCAAATGTATTGGCGTTATGTCTTGTGAGGACGGGCTCCTCATCACATCTGATTAGCACACTTATATTTGATGATTCCTAATGAGCTACTAAATTACTTTATTGAATTGAATGATTAAATGTATTTATTTTATTGCCCAACTTTAATTTTCTTTTACAGTCTTGTAAAATTAATTCAATTTCGCTTTTTCTGCCTGTGTTCAGACAGATTGTAGGGGGTTAATTGCATGTTAATGGAAAACTGTTTCACATAATTAATACTTCTACTCCAAGTATGAAAAGTGGAGCGTACTAATGCGGTGTAAATGTTTCACTATTTATAGTGATTCTGACTTCATTCATACAAAACTTCATATAACAAAGTTAGCTCAGATTCCTCTTTTTGTTATCTTTTATTTTTTTTAGCCTCTTTGTGTGTGTTAATAAAACATTTTCATATCAGTTGTCTTTATTCCCTTTTGACTTTAATAAGCCTTAGAGATTACGCACATTAAAGACAAACTCCTAGTCTGTACATTTCTGATAAAAGTTTAGTCAACATTTGGGAAACAAGGAGCATTCTTTTATACCATTGCTACTAGAATAAAACTCACAAGCAACAAACAAAATATGACTCAGTTTATTTCTTTGATAAAATTTAATATATAACTTCAGAAGATTTAATAACTTTGGGCTTGTTAGCTGAGCAGAAGTCCTTTCTTAACAAGATTAATTTTTCTTGTTTTTTTTTTTATTTTAGATAACAAACCTTTGAATTTACAAGTGAATGGCCATGCCAAAGATCTCTCGACTAAGTACCATGGGAAAAGCGAAGATGAAGACGACGATGACAGACTTTCTGATGATCATAATGACGGTACATATAATTAGTACTGGACTCTGCATAAGGGCTGGGAACCAGTCACGGGAACCAAAAAAAAACATAAAAAAAAAAATAAATCATCGCCACACTACTTAGATTAACTCCTGCATTGAAAGATATACCATTTCATCCAAATATTTAAAAAAAGTAATTTCCTGGCAAAAAAGATATGGTTTGTAATTATCGAAGACATCCATAATCATTCCTCGAAACTTAGAGTAAATGACACAGGCCTTGCTGACCACACAGTGGACAACCATTGGAGTGACCACTGGGTCCCTTCCTCTCTCTCCTTAGGGGATTCTGTCTGGTTAGAACCAATTTGTAAAAACAAATTTGGGATATCCAGACAATTATTCAACAAATAATTTTGTGATTATCTATCAGAAAATAACTGCAGGTGTTCAAATGCATGCCAAGATTTATATTACTGAAAACAGGAGGATCTTTTTTTTTCTCTAGAACTACAAATAGAAATGATACTACAAACATGAGCTGTAAGTAAAATACAGTCAAACATTCAACTGATAGACGATATATGTAGGAAAGAAAGAATTAGTTCCTAACAGAAATGAGTAATTTTCAATACATTAAGAAATAGTTGATGTGGAAATTTAATTTCTGGGACTGCTCCTCCAGGATCTTTGGCTGTTAACGTCTTCTAATCATTTGAGCTGACCACAAATTTGATCATTTTAGATGGAATGCAATTAAATACCAGATAATGAAAAATTCACTTTGAGGCCAGTACCCAGAAAAAATGGCAGAATGATATTAATGAATGTACACAATATTAGATGTTACAAGAATCAGGCAAACATTTCTGTGACCATCTTTGTGGAAACGGCATGTCCCTGGAAGGTATAAGATGTTTATAGTAATGGGAGACTTTAGGATGACAATGCTAGCATGCATGAAATAAGATTTTTGTTTCAATCAGATGAAGAAAATCATTGTTTTTATCAGTTGAATAAATTCAGTCAAAGGCACATACAAATTGATTGGCCAAGAGGCAGATCATCAAATCAGGGATAGAGGGAGATTATTTGCTCACTTATCCGTCTGCAGTGCGGTGTCATTCCACTGTCATGAAGATCAGAATTATTTTTTCAGACCAAATATTTAAAAATCAGGGGGTCATAAAGGTTTTATTTGTTCACCATTCAAATCCTGAAAGAATATGGGAGAAAAAAGAAATGCATTCTTTGTACAATGTATGGAATTTTTACTTTCTCCAGTCTGTACAGAAGCCTACAATTAAGGGATTTAGAGACATTAAGTTATTATTCTTTATGAACTTCCTATATTAACTGGCAGATGGTTAAGCAGGAATTGATACATGCTCATCAAGTAAATCCAAGCTGTTGACCTCTTATCACCCCAATTGTACAGCTGAAATGCAACAAATGGTCAAGATGTTTATCAGATATATAACTTTTTTTCTCTTGCAAATATGATGTAACATTTGCACAGGTGTTAAACATTTGTTCATCTGTACGGATAATAAACAAGTTCTGTCAGAAGACGGCAGCCTCTTAGGGATCAGTCATCAGAGGGAGGAAGCCTCATTCCTACACAAGAGATGACAGTCGATTAGAATTCTTGTAAATATGCACATTAGTAGTTAATACCTCTCCAGCTACATGCATTTGATGTGATACAGCATGTTCTTATCAGGGTCAGTCATATGTTTGATTTGTGGGGTATGAATCGTATGTATGGATTGATACAGATTGTGTTTTCAATTACCCTGATCTGAATTAATGGCTATTATCTGAGATATTTCACAAAATACTGAGAACGTTTCAAGCCTAACACTTCTACAAATGATAAAGTGTTGCTTAATAAAATAATGCATTCCTTAGCAACACTCCAAGTGTAGGTTGTTAATAAGCTTTTAGAAGTTACAAATGATCAGAACTTCAAAATAATCAGCGGTATTTCTTTTGTCACAAGTTCTATGATACTTTTACTTTTATTTGACTGGTAAAAGAATTTGTTGCCTAAAGATTGCACATTAAAAAATGACATTCTTGCATTTTTTTTTTCTCTCAAGCAAGCAGTTGTTCATTTTGTATAATTTGTTGCATATTTTCTCTGGATTTATTACATCATCTGTTTGTTTACAGATTTGGAGGACAGCCTTGCGGGCAGCGATTCTCTGAATGGCAGTGACCTTGGGGACAAAGTGGCTCCCCAGGTGTCCTCCTTCCAAGCCCAGCTCCAGAACGGAGAGATCCCCAACATCTCCTCCATAGAGACCCTCCTCCTCAATATCCAGGGACTCCTGAAAGTCGCCGCCGAAAACGCCCGCCACCACGAAAGACAACTCAGCATTGAAAAGAGTAAGTATCCCCCCTTATGCACCTTTTGCAATAGATATCTTATACCTTCACTATCAGATTAAAATCTAAATCTAGAAACAACTTTTCATCTGCTTTTTTCTTGCGGTGGTTATGCAGACTGCACTGCCATAAAGTAATCAAAACCCAAATGGTTTGAATAGTTTAAAAAACTGCTTTTGTTCTTTTTATGAGAAATTTGACACATGGAGGGCCATTCTTTTGATGCCTATATCAAATTATTCTTCACCCTTACACAAAGTTTAGCAATTATTGGAAGAAAACACTTTTATCGGTGTTAATAGTAAATTTTCTTGTTGACTATTTCTTGACAGAATCGGGTAATAATATCCGATATTCATCGTTTCATCTTGGCCGTAGTGATCTTATCAGTATTTGACTTGCGTTACATCACTGCAAGCTCAAACATTTGAATAAGTTATAAATTCTTCCATAACTTTTGCATTTAAATGCATCTGTGAAGAAAAAAAAGATATAATTATGTCACTCATGCACGGACCCAGGATCCATGGGTTTAGAGGAGGAAGAATGACCCATAATGAGAGGGGAGATTCGTTTACAGAATGTTGTAGAGTCAAGCCTGTTATTATGGGTTTACATCATTCTTTATTACATTAAAAATCACATAACATATTATCAATGCAAAAAGAAAGTATTAATTTCAGTTCCATCTTGCAATTGTGCACTGAAAAAATATCAAATATATAAATTACTTCTTGACCCTCTTAAAAACCAATGAATGAAAAGGTAGTAAATGGCACAGAAACAAGAGCAATAACGTTAGAATCTTGTGATCTGAGGGTCATCAGTGCGTTTTCAGCCGGTGTAGTGGATGCTTCATTGATTCCGCACCCAATCACCCACACTAGTCCAGCAATTCAAGCAAATTATACTACTTTTGTTGAAAAAAGAAAATCTTGTATTTATCACTTATTTGAATTCACTATTGCCATGTTACTCTAATTCTCAATACATTATTCCCAGAGAAATTTTTCGCTCAACTGAAATCGAAAAGAACATTCAGTTGGATTGAAATTAAAACAGTGTTCAGAATGATTAAGTGGCTGTTATTTAGAAAGCTGTAAATCAAATTCTGATTCATTTAAATGTTTGCTTTGGAATTAGCAGTATTTGAATAAATCAGCATTGTCACAAGGTGTCTATTAATTGGAATAAAGAACTTTCCAGTGGGTTTCAATGAGCCGTATTGATTCAGTGTGTGGCGTTAGCATGCATGTATAGGAATGGGAGGATTTACGTTGAAACTTTCATTTAATGCGAAACTATTACAATCATATTATTTTCAACAACTTAAAATCATTTCATGCTGTTAATATTTCATGCAATCTGAACACATGAAAAAAGGCTTGATAAATGATCTAATACACGACTGATAAATAAATGATTGAATTTGCATTTCAATTTAAATTGACTAAAAATTGTTAGCATTTACATTTATTTAAACATAAGATTAAAAACAATTTGGATGTAAGAGTTGTATGCAAACAAGATTGTTTTAATCAAATACGTAATGTTAGGTCAGAGTACACTGTACTTGGGATCTAAGTCTAGAAAGGGTTTTTCTCTTCTGATAATTAAATGCCAGCTGGATACATTTTTAAAATCATAAACGAAAGATTTCTCTGTGATCCCGATATCGTGCTAAAGAAGATAAATGTTCTTCACGGCCATTATTTCATGCAACAATGAAGTCCAAGCATTATAAAGACTGAAAATAATTACAAAGTGAAAATGATCAAAATCTGTGTAGAGCAATGATAAAATCTAGGTATCAGGTTTTACTGTACAAAATCAAAATAATAAAGAACTAAAAATGATAAAGAAGAATTTCTATTTTTGATTTGTGAATGATGTGAAAATGAGATGGGCGTGCAAGCCGTGTTAACTTACTACCTGAACTTAAGTTAGTGTTAAATGTCAGCCATAAAAGCCGTCCAACCGAGGAGAAATATTACATATGTTATAATATCTCATATGGAAATATTATAAATAGATTATCTTCTATTCATCTTTAAGAAACCTTAATTCTGATTTTATGAATTACGAAGAATATTTAATTTGAAATATGAATATCTTCAACTAGGATCTTGTATGAATTTGTATATTTCAAATAGCCGTCAATTCCAAATTCAGATTTAATGCCAAAAAAAAGTCATTTCACTTTTCAATATTGCAATGTATTTTGCATGAGCCTTAGAAAATAATTATTTGATGGCAATTGATGTAATTTTAATGCCATTTCTATTCAATTTTGTATAAGGATGTGCTTAGGACTTTTACAATAAAAAAAAATCATCTGCTAGTTGTGGCCTTTGGTGATCCAAAGAAGCAGTTTGCTCGAACAACGCGAGAGAAGTTTAAAGTGTCATGTTTCTTTTGGGCGATGACTGTTGTGCTAATTTTCCTCCATTGTGCTACTGTTACGATTCTAAGCATTTTGTGATGTGCCTTTTTTCTCACTCGATCTGTCCCCTCCCATCAGAATACGGAATCAACACATTTACACACTATGATTACTATGGTAAAAAGGAAGCTGATTATATTAGTTAAAAATCTGACAAGCTAATGTAACCAGCTAATGATATTAATCTCCTGTCTCATCAGGTTCGCATTCATTACCGCACACAAAACAACTGGCCATATTCTAAGCATTCATGTGTTTTAAATCTGAGAACTGATACCCCACATCTTGTGATATTCTTTTATATGCATGGATTGCAGAGTGTGAAATGGAACATTTTAACAGCTAGAGTATTTCAAAATTCTGTAATATATGTCTCAGAAATTATAAGTATGATAAGGAAGTAGTTATAAAATAACATATATATAGATGATACTTTCACAAGAATCTGAGCATGCATAAGTGTAACTTTTCTGTAAAGATAAAGCCTTGTTCTGGCCCATTTGTGAGCACTTTTATACAACAGTGAGGAAATATTCCTTTTGTTATTTATTTTTAATATGTTTTTCAAAAGGACTTTATAAATTGACTCTCTTGTTGATAAAGAATTTTAAGTTTACTTCAAATGTTAATAATAAAAAAAAAAATTACATGCATCTTAAAAATTGAAATATGCAGGCTCTTTTGCATTGGGAGGGGATGAAAATAAGAACCATCTAGTATGCTTAAAAAGACAGTGAATCTTTTACAGTTATTCTTTAATAAATTTATATTGATATCAATGAAAACCACTTTGCCAAAGTCCCCTAGGGAATGTGGTATGATAGCAGTGATATGATTATCCCCTGGGTCACATCAGTTCATATGCAAAAACATTGTTAGCAATGATCATTTTGTGCTTGTCACTTCATGACAGATGACGAAAACAAAAATGAAATCCTAGCATTTTAATTGGTTTAGCAGGAAATTAACCAAACCCAAAGGAATCGTGGAACAAGTCTAGCAGCAATTTATATCAATGAATTTAGTTTTCAATTATTTTTGTCATTATAGTGAATCAGAACATCAAATGATATTTTGTGATGAGAATAGATTAGATCCTAGTCCAGAAGAAGAAAACAATTTGTCATTTTGAAACACAATTAGGATTAGTGGTTTAGAGGAATTAAAACCAGGGTTACATCATCTGAGAGATTAAAAAGACTTACAGATTAATTCTAATGATGCCTGTTATTTCAATACAGATTAATTCTAATGGGCCTGTTATTTCAATACAAATCTTTTGTCATCTGCAAAAATAATCTGATGAGTTATATCTTTGTTTTTTTTTGTGATTAATTAGTGAAAATGGGAATTGTGTAATATTTGTGAGGTATCCAGTGATCTGATCAGTTTCAGGTCCACACGAGGGCCTACCACTAGGCATTTTGTCAGCCATTGTTTCTGTGTCTCCAGTGATGAGCAGTCTCTCTAAATGACTATATAAATGACAGAAAGAGATACCATTCCATATTTCTAATGCTAGAATATTGTCCTAAAGCTAGTTTCATATATCAGATTGGACAAATTATTTAAGTAAAAACATGATATATGGAAATGGACATTATTAAATGATCCATTATTTGGAATGAGTCTGTCAGTTTTTTTCTCGTCTGTGATTTGGATCACATGATTTATCTGTAATTAATAGTAACAATGACGTTTATCCATTAAAGCCAAACGTTTGGTACACCCAGAAGCATTGCAAATAATCACTGTCGGCTATGTTCTTGTCTTATAAATACTATTTATCTAGCACAATAGCTACTTTTTGTAATTTCAATAAATGTGCAGTTTCTATATCCTTGGATATTTGCAGGCAAGAACAAGCTTTAAATCATTATTTTTCATTAATTAAATTATATACGATATGAAGGAAAATTCAATATTGTACCTGAATCAGAACTTTTATAGTATTAGCTGTATCTCATTTTAATTAAAACAAAAATTCAATATGTTTGTGATATTGGATTGAGGGGCGATACATGTAATTTATCATATTCAGTGCTGCTGGGATCCCAAACCTATCATTTGTAATAAGTTTACCATTGCCAATCTGAAGGCTTTTAAGAGGAATCTTTTTTCTAATAACTTGATTGATAGAAGGATCTATCCAGCATTACTCCCCAATATCCCTCTCTCTATCAATCATACGATCATATCAAATATTTCTTTTCCTTTTGAAAACATTTGAATAATCAGAAATTGTTCATATGTTTTAGAAATGGCTGACTTCTCCTCAATTTTTTCAGTAAATGACCATTACGGCCACTTTGGTCGGAACTGTTGTCTGTGTAATTATGAGGTTAAATAATCTAATCGGTCTGATATCAGTACATGCAAAGAGCATTATGATTGTGAGGTATTAGTAATTTGTCCTTTGTAAGCAAAGCCCCTCATTATGATGGATGTGACAGCCAACTGAATCTGCCATACAGATGCCACCAATCTATGATGTATTGTTTTTTACTTCTTCAGCTGAGCTTAAAATGGAATTACTCAGGGAGAAAGAAATGAGAGAAGGATTAGAGAAGCAACTTTCAGAAGAACACAAAAGCAAAGGTAAAGGTTTGGGATATTCATATTCTTAGATATCATAAGCTATCTGCAATGGTCTGTTTGGTAGAAAATGATTTTTGAAATGAGCGCAAAATATGCATAATGTAGCATTTGGATGCTTCTCTTGCAGCCATATTATTACGACGCATCAAGAAGGAAAAGAGAGCACGTCGCAGGCTGCAGGAACAGATGGGAGCCAATCAGAGCGAGGAAAACAAAAACAGTCTGAATGATACAGCTAGCGTCACCAGCCAAGACTCGGACAAAGTCACCCCTGGTCAGTTCCACACCACCATCAAATTCTTATCTGAAATAGAATCTGTTTATGAAATAATAAAAACTTTCAGGAAAATTATTGACAGTATTTTGTGTTTTGCTTTTTTAGAAACACCAAATGAAAAGGAGACAGAAAAGGAAAATAATACCGAATCAGAGAGAAGAAATTCAGGTAATAAACCTAAAAATCTGATGATAGTCCAAAGTATTGTCTTGTTGTAGATATAAACTCATGTTTTCCTACTAATGGACCAACATTTGATTTCTTCTTTGCTCTTTCAGATGTTTCACAGGACAGAGCAAGTCACCTGTTTGAGAATTTCATCAATCATAATAACAACAACACCAGATTTCCTTACATGACCCCCCTCAAAGGAGAAGTCCAGTAAAATCAACTTAGAATCTATACCTTGCCCACCCTCCTAGTTCAGATCTGTGTAGATAATACCACAAGTATACCTACAAAGTGTTTTCATTTATACTAGACACAAATGGCATGTTGTAGATCATTATGAAATCCATACTTCATAAATACTCACCAATATGAAGGGGACTATACCAAGCAATCAAAGCAATGGAGAGTTTTGGCCTGTGTTTGTGTTAAGTGGACTAGTCCTTTGGCGATGTACTGCTTTATAGAAATTTTCAAAGCTCACCCATTATTTATGCCACGGAACAGTGAAAAGTTAGAGTAGTTTTTTTTCATTGTACATATATTTAAGACAGAACAAGTACATATTAGTTTAAATGAGCCTTCATTTCATATGTACATTTTGTTGATGTTCATGAAATTGAGTTCCCTGTTCAAGGGTGATTTTTATTCTTTTTGTAAACATTAAAAAATGTTTGATTTCAGTACTTTTTAAAATATTATGGTGCTTTAATATTGTTTAGATTTATAGCAATATTTTACCACAAGAAATGAAAAAAAAATGTTCAAAGGTTTGACTGTAATCATAATGTGAAGAGTACTTTTAGTTTTGTCATAGCTTGATCAATCATTTCCTGATCTGTTCATTGTTGTCATTATATGAGAAGACAGTGCAATATGTGTGTCCTATGTATAGTTGTATTAGGTGCTACAACCATTGTTATAGAACAACCCACAACAAGGAAACTCGGGTCTTTGTTGGTTTGAATTTTGTATAATAGTCATGTGTAACTGAATATGATGACATTCCTCATTTTGTCATGTGAAAAAAATAATAAAAGGTATAAGCCAAACAGAATTTTGTTTGTTTTCTGTTTTTAACATGCATTATCAGAAAAGTTCTTCGTGACACTTCATAATATTCTCTAAGACTTCTGTATTACCGGAGGTACATCTCAGTGATATCTGGAAGACCATGGATATGCCATAGGAAGCTGGAGGTTCCCAACTTATATTTTTCTACGTGTTTTAACCTCAGTAGCTGTTCTTGGTCCCAGTTAACAAGGTTTTACTGTACTTTATCTACACTTACAGGCCTGCCCAAAAGTTATTTTGTTTTAACTTTTTTTAAAAACATCCTACAATATGAAATTATTTAGTGTCAGGAAGAATGGAATACAGAGAGCATGAGGAGTCTTACATTTGAACTTAACTGTACCTACAAGTACTTTTATACAATATAAAGCTGAAGTTATAAATAACATTACTATGTGTGATGACTGTATTGACACTTTCCTGTTATTTTGCTAAGTAAACTGAGGCAAAATTTGGATAGAGGTATGCTGGGCTCTTAAATATATTTGGAAATATATGAAGATATAATATTTTTAGTTGTGTTTGCTTAACAGATTATTTATTACAGTGGCATACTGGTCATTTGTAGAAGACATTTGTATGCCTCAACTGTCAGAAAGTGTCAAAAATATCACCTTTAATGAAAATATTAAATTGATGATTAATTTTCTTGAAGGGGTATTTTATTGCAAAGAAAGAGTCCTCTGATTTTAAAAGGAATGAACTTTTTGAACAATCGATGTAATGAAAATGTTGCTCATGAAGTAAACCTAGATTTTAGGATTGGGTCCGTACTTAAAAAGGGGGGAAAAGTGCTCCACCCAGAAACTCATAAAGGTACAAGATGTGTTTGTGAACACTGATTTCCCCTTATGGCGGCTTTAAGCCAGGGTTTAAGTTTCCCAGATGCACGTCAAACTCCAAGGTCAAAATTGTTGGTATCGAAAGGAAGGTCTTGTCAAACGAATATACCCGTGAAATAAGAAAGCACTTGTACTACATGTAACAGTTCAAAAGCTATGGCCAAGGTTAAAGTTTTTTTTTTTGAGAATGGATCGAATTCTAAGGTCACGATAAAAAATATTTATAAAGGTCTTGTCACAATGAAAACTCAATTCATATATGAAAGCACTAACACCAACTGTTAAAAAAATGTTAGCATTGTTCAAGTTTGAAAATTTCTGGTAAAACTGGTTCATAATCCAAGGCCAGGAGGTCAAATTTGGTGGTACTCTAAGAAAGGCCTTGTAGAAAAAACAGGTTAGGGGGTAGGCATATTTGACTTGTGAATTACCTCGACCTTGACCTCGAAGTTTGAATAGTTTTTAAAAGTTAACAGCACTGATAACTTTTGAAGTAGAAACGACAGTGCGTTCATATTTGACATGAATAATCCGTGACAAGACCTTAACAGTCTCGTCAAAGTCTTCACAAAAAGTATTTAGAACTTTGGACTTATGTCCTTGATTTTGAATTTTAACCCAATTTTCAAAAACATTTAACCCCGAAAAATAAACCTTGATTATGAATTTTGATTGAGAATATGGAATATATGGAGATAACGAACAGTATTCAAGCTCAAAAGTCTATTAAACAATACAGAATAGGAGCTGAACATTAAAGGTGGAAGCAGGTGCCATGGAGGAGTGAGCATACCCTGCCGACCGGTCACATCCTCCGTGTGCTCCTTGTGATGATCGGGAAGTAACGGAAAATCCGCCGACAATTCAATGAGTAAATACTGGCTTAACAATAAGTATGAAAAACGTCAGTCAGCATTTGATTCAATGGTAACTTGCATTTGTTGACAAGTTCATAGTATCTACCATAGAACTTACGAAATCATGTTAATATCCTTGTTTTATCAACTTGTTTGTCAATAATTTACATTGTTTTAGTAATTGTACACAAATACGTAGACCATGCTCTTGCATGTGGAATCAACTGAGATATATAAACTCCGTATACATGTGATGAAGGTATATTGCTGCATAAGTACCCAAGTTGACGATTGAAAAGTTAAAGTCAGCACGTTTATCAAATATTATTGGTACCCATGGGAATTCCAATAGATTTTTGAAAGACACGGTCTCCAAAAAACCACATAGATATTATCAATCAAGCATCTTTTATTTTTGACATGTGCGTTACCTGGTTCATGACCTTTCAAAATGTTCTCTGGTTTTTGTATTAGCCTTAAAGTTTAACCAATTGTCTTTTTTTCATTTCTTGCATTGGTTAAAATGTTTGAACGAAAGAAGGTGGAACATACACATTACCAAAGACAATAGCTTTCAGACAGAACTATCAATTTAAATTCATGACCTTGAATTAGAAGTTTGTGACATACGTATTAAAAAAAATGAATTTTGACCATAACCTTTGCCCAAGAAGAGACATTTTATTTTTCCACATAAGCATGACAAGTACTTCTGGATTGTATTATATCTGACCTCATGACCTTGATCTTGGAGTTTTCAAAGGCTTTAATCTTTGTTATAACTTTTATTAAATAAAAGCTTTTTTGGTGTAAAGTAATGAATATTTTTTTTAGAATATAGAGTAAGAAGTTTTGATTTAACATTAAAACAGATTAACTGACATACACGCGACTTTTCAGACGTGCACGTACAGACTATCGGAATTAATGCTATAGGAATTTTTTTGCGATTGTGAATTTTGAGGATTTGTCATATCTGCAGATTTTCCGCAAAAAATGAACAACCGCGAAAAACAAACCCGTTACTAGTATACGGTACTGTACATGTCATTTAAAGTTTAGAGTCCTAGGCCCATGTATAAGAAAGCGGGAGGAGGATTTTACGTCCCACACACATTTTATGCCCCTCCCCCTTTTTTATGGCTCGTCACTATCTTATCTCTGTCTTCATTGTTAAACACACACAGTAAAAAAAAAAGAATGCTACCTACTAGTAAGAGTCTTGGATAATTAAAGGTTCTTAATAATACATGTATACAGTGTATCTAGAAGCAAATTAAATTTACATGAAGTTAGATTCGTCAAGATTTTTTACAGAATTGTAACGTCTCCTTTTAGACCAGGCTCGGGTTCATGAAACAGACTTAGACTTAAGGCAAAAAATGTGTATTGGGTTGAAATAATAATAAAGCAGTCCAAATGAAAATAATTTTTCTCTGCACAGTATAAGTGTTCCGGTTCACAAATATTGAAATAACAAACATTTTATATATGATTTGTTTCATGATCCCGGAGGCCAGAAAACTGACTAGAACAGATAAATTTTCATTTGTATGTAAAGCTATATATCCAAGTCTACTGAATTCTACTACAAGACCTAAATAGGTCGTTTATTAAATATACGATTTTATTATATGATTAAATAATTTCTATCTCTGATTGGTTGAGATCCAACTATGTTAGAAAAATACTACGTTGTATTGACCTGCACATGACGTTCCAGGTGAATACAAGGATTTATTTCCTCTACATTGATCTAAAAATAGATCGGGAAATTCCAAATTGATACAAATTGTTTTGAAGGCTATTTGAACGACTATGACTTTTTTTCATGTGAACAAAACATACGCGTGCACACTGTTTTGTTTTAAAAATATATATTTTGGCAAGTCATCAGAAAAGTGTGAATTTAATTTTTTGAAGAGGGGATGTACGCCGGCATATTTATCATGAAGCGCTAACGCCCCTCCAACACTCTGAACAACAATTTTTACATTTTGGCAGTCAGTTTTCCCTGATAATACTCTCTCCTTTCAAAATCTATCCTATAAAAAAGTCTGACATATATTTTTTTCAAGGCAACTCAAATTGATAAAAAACATTTCAAATTGATACGACTGGTGAGGTTTATTTACATTTTAATTCGGCTTCTCTCTTGTATTTGGCTAGGACTTAATTAATTGCAAACAAGTAATGAGCTGTGTAATTTTATCAGTGAATCATATAATAAAACAATTATTGCTGTTTTTTGAGGTCAATACAATGATTTAACCATCTTCGAAGTACAATATTCACCTCGCCCTTCGGGCTCGGTGAATATTGTACTCCTCAGATGGCTAAATCATCGTATTGACCTCAAAAAACAGCATAAATTGTATAATATCTTAGGTTGTAAACGGAAAGAATATTGCATATCTTATGTTCTTAACTTTTCAAAAAAAATTATGTAATGTACACCTTTATTTTTCTTTTACAAAATAGAGCGTTACATTAACCGCGATCTAATATTCGCTTCGTAAATAAGGAAAAGTAAAGAGGAAAGATGAAATACAAATTGAATCTAAAGCCAGTGTTGATTATAAATCTTTTGCGTCACAGCTCTTAATGTTAGAGACAATATACTTATTCTTTCAGTAATTGTATACTAAAATCGTCATATAAGACGAAAAACAAAAGAAATATATGCCGTTTGAATATGTGAATTTCTGTTCTAATGGGCTGTTTCGATTAATGTTTGAATTTTATTTCAATTAAAATGAAAATTTCCTAGAAATTGATCATAAACCAAGACCTAAGAACCTGGATCGTTATCCTGAAGTTTTTCACTTTTCAGATGACGATTTGGGGGATAAAAACATCCAAATTACAATAAATGATCATAAAATGGAACATAATAGCAGGGATTTTTATAATTTTATATGTGTTTCCAGTCAAGATGCCGAGTTCGCTAGGTGCACCAGACATGCACTCGGATTTTTTCACCCTCGCATGAAATGAAGCTGAAACCCTGAAAAGATTTAAATGGATAATTTCATAAGTAAAACATCACAAGTTGAGCCCTACCACATCATGTCTCTTAGGGGCTCTAGGTGCACCCAAATGAAACATTGAAATTAATGCACGTGTCGGGAAAGACAAAACGTTACGCTTGCTCTGGCAGAAAACAACATTCGTCTCTATTTCCGGGTAGAAACATTTTTTATCAAGGATCTCTGCTTTTTACATGCATAAGATATATTTACTGAAAAAAATAATGAATACATTTCTTAACATTAAATATTTAT